ATATATATATATATATATATATATATATATATATATATATATATATACACACACACACACAACCCAGGAAATATACTAAAACTACCAAACCAGATATTTTATATTGGTGAACTGTATGGTATAAAGTAACACAATAATGCTGTAATAAGAAAAATTTTTTTTCAAACATTTCCTTAGCAGCCCCTACCAAAAAATCAACAAATATGCTTTAACCAAAGTGTCAGCCTCAAGAAACATTATATCCAGGCACTAAGCTATTGCTCTTAAATATTTAAACTTCTGGAAATTTTTATGAAATGGAAACTCTGCTAAACTGCTACGTCAAAACCATTATCCTTCTAACTTAAGAAAATAAATTGAACAATCCCATACCCTGCACTGTAATAGTAGCTGAACTGTATCACACATCAAAATCTGCTTGAAAGGTCAGATGACAGACAACTTCTAAAAGGGCACTTTTCAGATTTAATCACATGCTGAATATCATAATTACAGCATGTCAGCAACATGCATTTCCTTGTAATCTATCAACAACTTCCTTCTCTATAATTCTCTGCAAGGGAAAGATATGTGGGTTTACCAGTGACATTTCTCCTAATAATCTCCTTCTTTCTCCTCATACTTACTCAGTCCTCTAGAGTCATTCCAACCTTTGCCATAGCCAGGAACATTCCCTATGTCCTGCTAATACATCTGCCTGCCTGCTGTTCAGGTAACAGCAGGTTATTTATGCCCTTGGAGATTCAAAGTGGGCCAAGAATACAGGAAGCAGACCGTGAGCTCCGTGAGGGAAAGGACTCTGACTTGTCCACTCTTAGAAACCACAAACACAAGGCACAGTATTTGGTCTAGAGGGTACTCAATAAATATTTGTGCCTGCCATTAAACTAAGGCCCATTCAGAGGATCAGCCCACAAATTACCATGGTACCAGGCTATTCTTAGGTATATATGAATTTGGGGGAAAGCCCCGTAAGTCCCAACCTCAGTTTCAGTGACTAAATCAGCCTGTATCTAGGAAGACTTAAAAGATGAATTCTTTTACCCATAAAGCCATGATAGAAACTCAAAACTTTATAACTTAAAAATGACAACACATTTCCCATTTTCCCCTACAAATACTGTGGACAAAACACAGATCTAGAAGTCCAACCACTCACCACCCAATTTCTGCTTATCAGCCTATAATTAGAAGGTCCAAGATGGAGGGATGGCAGTGGCCTGGTAGGGGGCCAGATGGGACAAGCCAGAACAATGTAACTCAGCAGTGTTTACAAACTGACAGCTCCTCACAGGAACATAACTAATACTTGTATCTACCTCATACATTAATTGTAATGATTAGATGAGTTAATATTTCCAAAACACTTAAAGTCCCAGGTTCGTGCAAGCTCACTTTATGGCTGGAAGAAATTAATCATATACTTCATATTTGTAAGAAAGAAAGGAAAGAAAGAAAGAAAGGAAGGAAGGAAGGAAGGAAGGAAGGAAGGAAGGAAGGAAGGAAGAGAAGAAAAAGTCATAGGTCACAGAAAGCTTTCATAACTAGTACTAAATTTGACCCTCACAACAGCCTGTGAGGAAGGCAGAACAAGTATAACTAACTCTATTTACAGGTAAAACACCTGAACCAGAGAAGTTATGTAGCTTGCCTAAGGTCACACAGTTGTCAGAAAGGTCTAGCCCAGAGGCAGGTATCTGGATAACCCATCTCGACTTCTTTCCTCGAGGTTGCAATTTGGGCTTTGGGGTTATTGGTGTCATGTGTGCAAACAATGATTTCAAAATGCTAAAAGAAGAGTCCTGAGAGCTGGGGCTATCTATATATAGCTCAGTGGTATAGGGTTTACCTAGTATGCTCGAGGTCCTACATTCAATCTCCAGTGCCATTGAGGGAGACAAAGACTGAGGCAGGAAGAGATAGATTCTGGTAAATTTTTGAAAATGTAAACTTCAAAAGTTAAGGCAATTCTGCTGAGTGGAATTAGAGATAATCAATAACCAATAGCTGGCAAAACACCTACTGAAACCATAATATAAGATACCACGATTGCATCCACCACGCACTGCCCGACACAGATTTTCTCAACAGTCTCTCCAAAATACGCCATTCAGCGATTACCAGACCCTGAGAAGATGGGCGTCGGTTTAAGACTGAAAAGGCTGCCACTTCCCCTAAACGAAAGACCAAAAGGGAAAGGCTCGCCGGGAAAGGAGGGTGAGGACATGGAGCTAACGAGGCTCTCGGGGATAGCGCGCAGGTTGCAAACTCCCAGCCACCGACGAGCCCGAGAATGAGCTCCCCGTCGCCCGGCTGCATCTTCCCGTAGGCTCCGCAGCCCGGGGCAAAGGCAAGATGCCTGCAGCTAAAGGTGAAAGAGGACTGGCCATCTCTGCAGAATCCGAAATAATCTCCCCGAGAGGCTGCCTGGAGCATACCACGACGTTATTTTAAGCACTGAGTCCCCGGAGAGAGGACCCGCGCATTTGCCCAAAAGCATCCCACCCGAAATGGGCCCGGGAGGCAGAGCAGGGATGTGCAGCCGGGGCAGGGAGGTGCAGCCGGAGCAGGGAGGTGCAGCCGGAGCACAACCCGCCCGTCCTCCACCCCCGGTCCCGGGCGCGCGACCCCTCCCCAGGGCGCGGCCCCGCGGCGCGCGTTACCTTGGTGTAGAGCTCGGACGCGGCCATGGCGGGCCCAGCGCCGACGCCCCCCGCCTGGGCGGAGGCCGCAGCTCGCGTGGCGGCCGCCCGCGCCGGTGAAGCAGCGGCGGGCGGGCGGGGAGCCGGGGAAGGGCCGGGCTGGGCTGGGCAGGGCGGGC